ATTTGGAGCATCATCAGCCTGTGCTGTTTTTATAGTGAACAATCAAGAACATTTTATAAAGGTCTACCTGAGGTCACCATTTATCTAGATGATGTGCTACTAACAGGGAAGAGCAATAAGGAGAAATTAGAGTCCTTCGATGCTTCTCTTAGGTGGGCATACACCTTAGAAGAGAAAAATGTGTTCCAAGCACCCTAAGTCACCTACTTGGACTATAGAGCCGATAAGACCGGGTTACACCCTTTGGAAGATAAAGTGAGGGCGATCAAAGTTGCTCAGGCTCCCATATCAGTACCGGAGTTAAGGCCTTTCCTTGGGCTGGTGAACTATTATGGAAAATTCATACATAACCTGGCCTCCTTCCTGGCACTTTTGCATCAACGCTTAACAAATGGTGAGCCTTGGATATGGTTGTATAACCAAGTCATAAATTTCAGGGAAGTGAAGAAATGGTTATCATCCTCCGAAGTGTTGGCACACTATGATATCAAGTGAGATCTGGTATTGACGTACAGTGCCTCCCTGTACGGCATCAGGGTAGTATTAGCTCATAGATGGCCCAGTGGAGAGGAATGCTTAATAGTGTACGCATGCAGAACTTTGGCTAATGCAGAGCATAAAAACGCCAGATAGAAAAGGAAGGTTTGGCAGTAACATTTGGAGCGAGGACGTTCCACCAATACATTTACGGACATAAATTTGTAATGATAACCAACCACAAACCCCTGCTACATCTACTTAAAAACGTCAAGGCAGTGCCACCCATAGCTTCATGCTGAATTCAGTGAGGTTCTAATACTAAATGTATATAATTACAAGTTGGAACACCATCTGGGAGGCCAAGTAGCATTAAACGCCTCCCGCTGGCAAATACACCACCAGTGGTACAGCCACTGGAAAAGTCCATAATGTTTTTAAATTTTCCAGACACACTTCCAGTCACAGCTTACCATATCAGACTTTGGACGCAGAAAAATCGTGTCTTGGCAAAACTGAAACAGGTGATGATAAAGGGGGAAACCAAAGGGCTATCACAACCAGATTTGAAACCTTTTTGTACCTGGAGACACCGGATCACAGGACGGCATATTATTTTCGGGAGCAAGAGTGATTGTCCCAAGCAAGGGGACACTGTCAGATACAGGTTGAACTCCTCCAGGGTCATCCAGGGGTTTCCAAAATGAAGACGTTGGCAAGAAGTTATGTCTAGTGGCCAGGATTGAATGCAGACCGAGCCGCATTGGTGGGGCAATTACAGATGGCAAGAAATGCTGGTCCAGCCAGTGACACCCATATCCCATGAAATAATAATAAAAAAACTATCATGGCAGGATTTGAACACCGGTCCCCAGAACATTGTCCATGGATTAACAGTCTAGGTCAGTGCCTTCCTTTTACAGTCAGTAAAAATAAAAGGAATTCACCCAAGGGAAGAAGTGACCAGTGCAGAATAAACTAATGTTCTCCACCCTGACCTACGAATGCCCTACATGGACGGAAATGCTTTAAGGTGAAAGTATCGATTTGGAAAGCAACAGGCAGCCTCAGGAACACCTTGCTTTAAGTGGAAAGAAATGAGGTAGTGCTATATTTTCTGTGGTACATTTTGCTACGTAGACCCTTCCCATTAAAAATATGTTTGGCACCATAGGACTATACGATGAAAGTACAGAGAGCTGGAACTCCTACGTAGAAAGATTCCATTATTTTATTCAAGCGAACAAAATTGGAGCAGATTATAGCCATTCCTGAATGCCATGAGGTGGGGCGATGGAGAAGTTTAACTGCTGAGGAGTCTGATATAGCCAGAAAAGCTGGGTTCCGAAACTTCTGAAGAAAGAGTAAGAAGCCTACAGGCTTATTGTGACGCACCAGTCATATCTGACTATTCTAATCCTGTTTTCCACCACTTGGATCATAGCCTTGTATGCTATGGTGTTTCGAGCATTCATCTAAACAGTTCTTAAATGTATCGCAGGTTCCTGCCTCCACCATCCTTTCAGACAATGAGTTGGAGATACACACATCACTGGGTGAAAAAGATTTCCTCAATTTCCCTCTAAATTTCCTGGTCCTTGCCTTAAAGCTAATTTCCTTATTAGGAGACCCCTATACTAAGGAAAATGTTTCTCCCTACCTACCCAGTCTATGTCTATGTATGCCTGTCCTGCTGATTTCAAGAATCTATAGACATGCACATCAAGGTCCCTCAGATCCTCTATTTTCTAGGGTCCTATCAATGAACATTGCCAGCTATTGCTTTCCTGACATTCAGCTGGACTCCCTATTATGCTTGGAGCCTACCTCTTTTGCCCGCATGGTGCCAGGAGGGTGATGACTCCCTGCCCTGCTCAAATACATACAGAACATGTTCCCTGAAATCTTTGGACATCCAATGCCATTTGTGTACCAGTGGCTGAGTGGTCCCATAAGTAATGCTTCCATTTGTTGACTTGCACCATAACTGGATGTTTTTTGTGCCTCCATGCACCTTTTCTGATCTTTACCCAGTGTACCTCCCATGCAGAAGTCAAAATAATTTTTCATTTTCAAGATCTCCTCTTGAGATTTTCTCAAGGGCTACCATTTTCATTCGACAATTCCTTTATTAGATGATGTTGTTACATAGCAACAACACTCTATTTGCGTGGATATGCAGGGTAGTTGGGTTCATGCACACACAGACTTAGAATAATTTAACAAAATCCACAATAATTATCAACTTTCCTTTTAACTTAGAGCCACTTAGAAAAGCATTAGTTGCTCAGAATAACTGCTACATATTACAAGAAACAAAATGTCACATCACCCAAAGCACATCTTGCAAAAACTGCTAAGGTCACAGCCAGTGCATTTTCATCACAAGCACATAGCTGAAACATTTAAACCAGGCAGTTACAACCCTAGTCACTGCACCTTGATCTCATCTTCGATTTTAAATTTAACAATTGTAAGTGTTTATTATAATAGGATCCACAACATTCTTTCCATGAATAGTAATTCCTGAACTTGCACAGCCCTAAACTAGGAATTCCACATTCATTTGCAAGAAACTCATTGCCTCAGTGATTTGAAATTTTCTTGAGTTGGTTAGCTGAGTATTTTATTGTTTACCGGTTTCAAACTATTCTCTCTCCTTTGCAACCTCCAACTCACTCATTCTTGCAGCCTCCTCATCCTTCCTCAAGCTCTTACAACCTCCTTCTCCTTCCTTCCACTTCTTATAGCCACCTTCTCACTCCTTCAGCCCTTCTCTAGTTTCATTCTCTTCTTACCCTTCTTGCAGCCTACGCCCCCCCCGCCATTCCTTACATTCCCATTTCTACTCCCCACCCCCACTTTAAAACCTCTGCTTCCCTCCCCAGTCCTTCTATGACTTTATCTTCCTTCCTTCCTTGAGAGTGATTGAATTAAGTTGGAATCTAGAATATTAAATGTGAACAAAGTAAACTTCAAATGAGGGTGAGGTCTCTTACATAGATGGGAAACTTGATTAAAAGATATCACAGTAGATACATATTTTTAAAATTAATTTATGATTTGCATCAAGTGCATATTTACATAAAGGCTTTTCAATCCTGTTGCAACATTCAGTAAGATCATGGTCAATCTTCTACCATAAATTAATCTTTCCACACAATCCCAAATCCCTTAATTCCCTTAAGTTTCAAACACCTTTTTGTGTTGTTGAAAAAAGACATATTTGTTGATATAGCGAGAGGTGCAGGTGCTGGAGTCAGGGATAACAAAGTGTGGAGCTGGAGGAACACAGCAGGCCAGGCAGCATGAGGAACAGGAAAGCTGACGTTTCTTCAGAAACATCAGCTTCCCTGTTCCTCTGATGCTGTGTTCCTCCAGCTCCACACTTTGCTATATTTTGTTGATGCTTTTCAGGACAATTCTCGAGGAATTAGAATTAGATTTATTTTCACATGTACTCAAGATCACATCTGCAATGTCACCCCACATGGTGCCATCTTGGATACAAAGTACCTACGTACAAATCTTAGGTACAAAATAGAGAGAAAAATCAAAAAAAGTTAAATTACCTTACAATTATTCATAGTATAAGTTAGAAAAATAAGAACTGAAGTTAAGAAGATAAAAATGGAGTACTAAAGGGAAAATAACATTATACTGTGTAAGAGGACAGTACTGATGACTGGCAACCAGCCTGAGCTTGCAAAAAACTCACAACAGTGTCTAGTATTAGATGTGGTTCCACAATTGCACAACATTTCCTACATAATTCTGAGTACTTGTGTGTACTAGAGGCTACATATATTAATACTAGAGGCTACATATCAGGTCTTGTTCTTTGTAGACAGAAAGACATAGAATCATACAGTACAGAGGAGGCTGTTTGGCACACAGTACTCTAGTTGTGGCCAAACCAAAGTTTGTACACACACTTCAACTGTTTTAACTCAACAAAACTGGTGACAGCCATTGTTTGGTTAATTTCTCAAGGCAATGCCTTGACAAATCAGAGTCCACCTGCCTGGTTTAAAATTTAAACAAATATTGGCAGTTAACTGTCAGTCACCATCTAGCTGGTACATTCTACATGGCAATGCCTGTACCAATTGGAGTTCATTTGCCAATGCATCAGCAGTCTCCTCTCATACAGTATAAACATAGTTTTCCCTTTACTTTGGCATTTCTTGCAAATTGTCCCACTGAGTTCAAGACAAAACACTGACAAAATGTCTCCTTCTTCAGCAAAACTCAAGTTCTGTGCTACCAAATGATTATTTATCAAAAGTCCATCAATCTATATCATGAATATACTCAACAATCGAGCATCCACATCCCTCTGGGGTACAGAATTCCAAAGATTCCCAGCCCTTTGAATGGGAAAAACTTCTCACTTCGGTCCTAAATCCATTCTTAGCATAATTTAAAAACAATAAACCAATCAAGTGACAATAATGATTTATATAGAATTTGATAATTAATCAAACACACATTCTGTTTGGTTAAGATTGAAAATTACTCACTGCTATTTGGTTGATCTGCAAAAGTCACCTTGCGTCCATCCCAGCTCTTTTCAACTGGCTATAATGTTAAAAAAAAAACCAAATATTAAGGTCATAATTGATTACTGAATCTAGGATCTTAAATGAAATAAAGGTTAAATAACATTTAACTTGATATAGTTATTCACACTCTAACAGTTAAACTAAAAAAAAAGTGAAACTAATATTCAAGTTTACCTTTTCCTCTGGATTTTGAGTAGGGGTTGATGCTTTGTAGCCAAGCTGCAACAACATGGCTTCTGCAGCATTCCGCTTTGCAACTTTCTTGTTAGGACCGGTACCTGTCGTCACCTCAGTGCCCACCATGACCTAAAGAGCAACACAGCAATTAAACATGTAATTGTTTTAAAAACATTTAGTTGCCATTATATGAAATCCAAAGCCAAAAATAACATTCTACCAGACATTACAAACAGATTCTCACCAAGACATCCAAAGGTTTTCCTTTCTACATATCTTATCTGGTAATCAGAATAAGTGAGCGGAAAGAAAATTCATCCAGATATCTTCAAAGTCCATTGAAATCCCATTGTGAAGGAAGTGCAGTTATAGGTGGTTTTATTAGCTTTTCACAAGAAGCCAAAACTGAGATGAAAATTACATACATATGAATGAAAATCACATTAAATTGAAATGCTGCATTCAAAGATTAAAAGCTGTAGTTTATTTTCGTTTTATATCTTCGCTGATACTGCACACTGCCAAGACTTTTAACTTCTAATAGCTCTGTTGGGCAGAAAAATCTCCTGTTGAACAGTGAACTGCTTGCATAATTGAGGGAGCTTTAGTTTATGTTCAATTATGTTGCACAAAAGAAATCTCATCAGCCTGATTTTGTACCTTTACATAGGTTATATGGCACAGAAAGAGGACATTCAAGCAAACAGTTTCTGCTGGCATTTGTGTTCCATTAGAGACTCCTCCCATCTTTCTTCATTTAAACCCATGTTCACAACGTTCTATTCCATATCTCATATATATTTATTTTCTAATCCATCTATTCAGAGATGTTATTACATACCTCCGCAGCAGGTGAGACTTGAACCCAGGCCTCCCGACTCAGAGGTAGGGACACTACTACTGTGCACAAGAGATCTTTCCATATTTCTCATACGCTTAAATAAAAGAAATTTACTGCAGATGCCTAAATTCTGAACAAGAGACATATTGCACTTGAAAGTTCTCCCTGATGCTGCCAGACCTGCTGAATTTCTCAAACATTCTGTTTTTATGTCTTACATGATTGTCTAGCTTCCCCTTAAACACACGTATATAATACCACTGTAGTATTGAGGTCCTCTAGTTTTGCTCTTCCCTAAAAGAGAAAACATTCTCTTCCTATCCATGCCATCAAAACCTTTCACATCTCAGATCTCAGCCTTTTTCCTTTTCCAAGAGGAGTTCTGATCTGTTCACACTTAACAAACCAGTACTCAAGATTCTTGCAGCAGGCAAATTTGCCCCCAAAATCTCTAAAATGCTATGGAAAATTCAACCATGGATTCGTTCCCTCTTGCATTTCCAGCTGATAGGTTTACTAATGAGCAGCTTCTGTCGAAGTTACGTATAAATGTTGTTCAAAATTGTGCTCATTTTGGGATGTGAATTTATCGCTAGAGTTTCTACTCAGATTAATTTACATATCAGCAATTGTAACATCTTTCTTAAATCTTCACAATCATGTCGTGTTTCAGAATGCAATTTGGAAAAAAAAAATGATTTTTGGAAGTGGTAAGCTGTTGCAGTTTATGATGTAAAGGTGCCAGTGTTGGATCTGGGTGGACAAAGTCAGAAGTCACATTGCACCAGGTTATCGTCCATCAGGCTTATTTGAAATCGAGCTTTGAAAGCACTGCTCCTTCATCAGGTGAAGTCAGGTGCAGTTCATGACAATAGCTGGGTTCATCACAAAAAAAAATCATTGCCTAGTCCAACATCTGCCAATAACTTAATTTTGAATAACTGAAAATGACTTTAAAAACTGGCACATAGCTGTTTGCTAATTATATTGAGAGGAAACTGTTTTGTGGCAAATTTTCAAAATCAGTCAATGAATAAGGCTTTTCAAAAGCTCTTGCATGTAATTTTAGGAATCTCCTTGAAGGTCCACAAATAGACATTAATTAGCAGAACTTTGTCATGGAGTGTGACCAGTTTCGTGGAAAATGGCCAGAGGTTGGGAGAATTGTCGCAGTTCCATCAATTTCTTTTTTAATAGTAGCACAGAAAATCAGATTAATTTGATTAATGCTGGATATAATTGTGAATCCTTGATCTTCTGCAATATTTTTCAAGGGGTAGGAAAAAGAAATTACTGTTCTTCAACCTTGAAATCAACAGGCAGTGGTGTCATGGTAAATGATTGGGACCTCTTTCTTTTGAGAATTCTCTCTTGAAAAGTACAACCAATTAATGACAAAGGCTACCCTCTCTCCGACCCCCATTCTTTAGAATTAGTCAGCTCCAATGGGTGTGAACAAAATGAGAAGAAAATGTGTGTGTGTGTATATAGTGAGAAGAGAAACGTTCACTCAATCCTAGCCTGCACAAATAATCAGAATCAAATAGTTTCTGAAGATATGTTCTATTTTTGGTGAAGACCATGCTCACAGAACTCTGGTTACTTGTTGCTGTCAACAGGGGATCAGGCTAAATCCTAGAAGGAGATGAAATTCTTTGTGAGGAAGACAAGAGATTTGAAGGATTTTGTGATTGCTAACAGGCTGAGTGAACTGAAACTAATTCATAAGATCTGTTCTTGCTATTAAATGAGTAATTTACAGTTTATAATCCAACACAATTTGCCTGCTAATTTATGTGTAACTTGTATTGATTCTGAGTTTTAGTGCCTCAGTGGTTATCCAAGACAGTTTTTGCTTTGCTTGACCCTGATATAGTAAAACTGTTTTGTTTTAAATTGTGGAACCTTGCGTGTCCAATATTTCAGGAAATAACTAGGATGTTTTCTTTTTTCAAAAAAACTAGTTGCTGATCACAACCAAAATCGTGACACATGACTGATGACAATTCTTTAGCATTCCTCCACCCCACAAGTATAACAGCAGCCATCACCACAAGGTGCATCAATATCAGCAACTCAGATGCTCAAGTTGAGATTCAAGTTCTAGGATTTGCTTGCCAGTCTCCAGAAACAGCATTGACCAACAAATGCTGCGAAGAGTCGGCAGCCTGTGATCATAACATCTGGGCAGACAAAGAATGGTAAAGAAGCTCCCAAGCCACATACTGTACGACATGCAAAGCACCTTGTGGCCCAAGGTACAAGTGATACTCCCAGAAAGCAAAATATCACTTAGAGATCTATTAAATCCTACCACTCTTATATGATCAAACTCTCAACAGTTTTGCAACCAATGTTTCTTTACAATTTATTTACAGTGTGAGGTCCCTTTCATGTGTTACATTCATTTTGTTTTATTACATGACCATACACAAGAATTATTTATCCCAGAACAAAGCTTGTACAAAACTTCTGATTGGGCAGTCTGGACTAGTGTGAGAAATAGCTGTCTAGTAACCCTATAAAATCTTAAGAAATTTATTGAATGTTATAGAACTAGATAGTAAACAGGGGATATCTGTGGATGTTGTATATTTGGACTTCCAGAAAGCATCTGATAAAGTCTTACATAGGGAGACTTTTAGCTAAGGTAGAAGTCAATGTAATTGAGGACAAATTACTGACATAGATGAGAAATCAGTTGAGTGCCAGGCAACAGAAAGTAGGGGTAATGGATAGGTACTCAAATTGACAGGATGTGATCAGTGGTGTCCCACAAGGATCTGTGTTTGGACCTCAATTAGGGCTCTCTCCTAGGAAACTGATAGTAACTAGTGAGGATGTGCACTGCCTCTGGATGTAGTGGCCTTCTCCAGAGGTCCCCAGTATCAGAGATGCCAGCCTTCAGTGAATTCAATTTGATATCAAGAAACCACTGATACAGCAAAAGCTACACACTCTGAAAACATTCTGACAATAGTACTGAAAACTTGAGCTTCAGAACTTGCTGCACCCCTAGTCAAGCTGTTTCAGTAAAGCTACAGCACTGGTACCCAACCAACAATGTGGAACATCCTGTACACAAAGTCGGACAAATCCAACCCAGCCAATTACTGCCCCAACATTTTACTCTTGATTATAAGTAATATGACGGAAAGGGTCATCAACAGTGCTATCAGGACCAGTTCAGCAACAATCTGCTCACTGATGTGCAGTTTGGGTTCTGCCAGGGCCACTCAGCTCCTGCCCTCATTACAGCCTTGGTTCAAACATGGATAAAACAGAATTTCAGGGATGAGGTGAGAGTGGCTGACCTTATCATCAAGGCTGTTTTGACCAAGGGTGTGACATCAAGGAGCCTTAGCAAAACTAGTCAATGAGATTCAGTGGGGGGAATCTCTCTGATGGTTGGAGTCATACATAGTGCTAATGAAGTTGTTGGAAATCAGTCATCTTAGCTCTGTACGAGTTCCTCAGGGTTATGTCCTAGGCCTAATCATCTTCAGTTGCTTTGTCAATGAATTTCCCCCCATAAAGTCAGAAATAGGGATATTCACTTATGTTTGCACAATGTTCAGTGCATTCACAACTCCTTAGATACTGTTCAAATGCAGCAAGACCTGGACAATATCCAGGCTAGGGCGGTAAAATGGCACTGCAGCAGATCAAGAAAGCAGTTCACCACCATCTTCTCAAGGCAACAGGAGCGTGCAAGAATTGCTGGCCTAGCCAGCAGCATTCACGAGTGAATAAAAAGCAAACATGTGTAATAGGAACAAGGATGTTGCGCAGCCATGGGATGTAGCATCTGTGAGAATCAGTGGTGTCTGCTGACATTTGTGCAGGCCCTGTAGCTCATATGAGATGAGGCTGGGATTATGGGCAACATTTAAATGAGAAAGCAAGAGTTTAACATGTGTAAGGAGTAAGGGTGAAATGAGGAGCAGTTGACAGAAGTTGCGCCATTGTGATTAGCACTAAGGCAAGTGATGCAGTGATAAGCAGTGGTATGACTGGCATAAGAGGGACAAGGCAGAGTGGAAGAATATACATTATGAGAGATGTGTAAAGGAGGACATGTGCTAAACTTCCCTAACCTAATCAGGTTATTGGAATATTTCCCGCAAAGATTCAAACCTTGCCAGGATGCTCCTGCTGCTGACTTCCTCAGCTAACTTCATTTATAGTTTATTCCTCCCATTTGTGACCTTAATGACCTGATGCAGTCACAAAGTGACTAGCAGTTGACAGGTGGCAGTCCAGATTAAGTCAAAGACATCCATGAAATCAGAGGTAGTAAACCTATGTATGTGGGCAAAGCTTACATTGAGGCACATGAAACTCATATTCAAGAGTCAGTGCATTCTGCATTGAGATGGCTGAATGGCCTATTCACCACACTTTAACTTAGGCACGAAATTGCATCTTTACCGTGTCTCAGAATTTGCAACACACAGGTGATGAATTACATTGTTAACATTAACATCAAAACATTACATTAACATATCTCTCCCTCTCACTCCACTGATGCTGCCTGACATGCAGCAATTTGTTTCTATCACAGCCATCACCTGTTTTCCTTCTAACTTTGATTACTTTCATATTAGTATCTCTCCCTGGCCTCTGCACAACAGTCCCACATGGCTGCATGCCCATCGCTGGATCACTCTCCAGCTCTCGGGACGAGGAGTCTGAAAACACTAACCCCATCACTGTGTTCTTTATTTTAAATTTTGACACTACCAGAATTCACTGTGAAATGGTTAACATAATACAAACATATCTGGGCAAGCATAGGGAGTGGGCGAACTCTGACCAACAAACTAGGAAAGTAGCCAAGAACAGGGAGTAGGTGGACACTGACCAAAAATGATATTGCATCAATCAAGCGTAAATTTGGATGTAACCCCTTGTGTAATTGGTGGATCATGTGCACATTGTAATCTATTGTACTTTGATAGCACAAGACACACTGCAACTGTTGTTATGGGAGCCAGAGATCTTTGGCTTGAACAAAGGAGACTGTCAATGTTACCAACTGCCTATCCCTAACTGCTCTTGAGAAGATAGTGGGAAATATGTTGCAGTCTGTGTGGTTACACCCACAGAGGCTTTTTTGTCCATGGTATGTCAGTATTGTTGTCTAGGACAGTTTTTTTATTGGCCATTTCCTAATCCTTGAGAAAGCAGTGATGAGCTGTCTTCAGTACATTACGGACAAGTACACCCACAGTGTTACTAAGAAGGAGTTCCAGGATTTTGACTCAGCAACAGTGAAGAAACAGCTGAAATAGTCTGAGTCAAGACGATGTGCAGCTTGGATGGGATCTTGCAGTGCTCCCACGTGTGCGTTACCCTTATTCATCCAGATAGTATATGTTGTGAATTCAGAAGATGTTGTCAAAAGACAGTTGTCAAGCTATTGACATGCACCACAGTCACCTTTCTTTGTAACAGGAGTAGCTTCAATAAATGGAGCATTTTTCCCAATTTCCCAATGGCTTCAATTTTCCTAAGGTTCCTTGATGCCACATTTCAGTCGAGTTTTTCCTTAATGTCAAGAGCAATCATTTTCACCTCATCTCTGGAACTTAATTCTTCTCGTTCATTTTTGGGCCAAGGCCGTAATTAGGCCTAGAGCCAAACGGTCCCGGTGAAATCCAAAGTGAGTATAGGTGAACAACTTATTACTGAGCAAGTGTGGCATGATAGTACTGACAATACCTTGCATTGCTATGATTACCGACTGAAGGCAATGGGGTGATAATTAGCTGGATAGAATTTGTTTCTTTTTGTGGACAGAACATACCCAGCAATTTTCTACATTGGTGAGTAGATGCTTTAGTTGTACTGAGACAGTTTCACGAGAGACATGTCTGGTTCCGGAGGACATGCCTTCAGCACAGTAGCCAAGATATTGTCAAGACCTTGGCTGTACCCAGTACTTTCAAGTATTTGTTAGTATCATATGCAACAAATTTAATAGGATAAAGGCCTAACATCAAAAATTTAAGGTGCAAACTGAAATTGAACTTTCACTGGACTCTTCTTAAGTTGGTTCAAGATGGTTGCAAATGCTTCAGGATCTTGTCTTGCACAAATGTACTGGGGTCCACCATCATGAAGGATGTGGAGGTTTGTGGAGCTGTGTTCTTCCTCATTTATTTGCTTACTTATCACTTACCATTCACCCTTAAATATGACAGAAGCACAGATTTGATCTGCTCTATTGGCTATGGAATGACTTAACTCTTTCTAATGCATGCTGCTTTCACTGTTTGGTATGCTCACAGTCCTATATTATGGCTTCCCAAAGATATTTCATCTTTAGGTATACCTGGTACAGATCCTGACATGTTCTCCTACAGTCTTCATTAAACCAGTGTTGTATTCAAGCCCCATTGCTTCACTAATCGCACCATTATAATAAATATTTGTTCCAAACATCAAAATGGCCAGCTGGTTTCCTTTTTGTACTATTCTTCAGAATAAAATAAACTTCTTTATAAGAAGACGTTTCCTTATAAAAGAGATAACAAGGTGTAGAGCTGGATGAACACAGCAGGCCAAGCAGCATCAGAGGAGCAGGAAAGCTGACATTTCGGGCCTAGACCCTTCAGAA